TGTTGGATGCTGGCGGTTTCGGTATCTTTGGTTCTGGTCCTCCGATAGAGACTGCTGCGATTCCAGAGTCCGACTTGTCATTCATATCAGGCATCTTTTGAGTATCCATTTCAGCGGTGTCATCGCTATTCTCATTCAGATCCTCCAGGAATTCCTTTGCTTTCCCTGCCATTTCAGACGGAGACTCTTCGTCATCCTTCTTGTCGCCCTCGTCTGCCTCACTGGTCCTCTTTGGAAGCTCCTTCATGCGAGGAGCTTCCTCATGCGATAACTCATTGTCATCGTCTGACATGGCCACGATGTGGATGCTTTCAAGTGGGCTTCCTTTTGATCTATTCAGTTCTCATCAGCCATGGTGAGGGGAAATTAGTATCTTCTATTGAATATTCGTCGACTTGCTTTTTCAAGACTGAAGATTAAACTACCAAAAAGTTTTTTTAAGAATGCACGAAAACCGCGACGGCGCAAAATAGCGCGTATGAACACAATTTGGATTTCTCCATGGCGATGATATTCTTGAGTAACCAGGGAATAACGCTATTTGTGTCGTTTACCGTTTTTGACCCCAGCTTCTTAAAAAATTGAGGTGGGTGCGCCAAGGGAAAGAGACGGGGGACAGGCGCGGGGTAATGTAGGAGCGGGCGGGTCCCTCGCTCATGCAAGGATACGTCTAAGTCATAAAACTCATCATGTGTATATCCGCCCGCCAGGGCAGTTTTCCCGAAAGCTGCCCGAGTACTTGGATCAATCACGAACAGTTCGGAATCACTCCAGATAAACTGAAGTCCCTACTATGCATCTCACTTTCTCATAATATCAACAAACGACAACAAGGATTACCAAGACAAAAAACAAATTGATCAAGTGCACATCCCTCCAACAAACCAACATGACTGAATTCATCCAAAATATATTAGAGAGTGCTGGCCCGAACGGCGTCGTCGTGTTCAGCAAGACCTATTGCCCATACTGTGCCAACGCTAAAGATGATATTTCAAGCATCGGGATTGCCCCCATCATTGTGGAACTTGACAGGCGATCCGATGGTGAAGACATCCAAGCGGCTTTGTTACGAATGACTGGCCAACGAACAGTACCATCAGCTTGGGTAAACGGAGTCCATATTGGTGGTAGCAGTGATGTCTACCATCACGTTCATCAAGGTGGTTTGTTCCGTAACAGAAAACAGATCTTCGCCGCAAGGAAATATGCCGAGCATTCAGGAATAC